GTACAGTTACTGGCTCAGATGTATGTACTATGCCAAGGCAATGAGTCCTTGGAGCCACACATGAACCAAGCCAAACTCTTCCTGGTGAGTCATTTGTACTGAATCCTTTTCTGCGAAGAATTAAACATGGATGGTGTTTTTATAGCCTCTGTGTGAGGACTGATGCAGGTGTTGTGTAGTTGAAACAATGGTAACTTGAAGGTCAGCATGGGCAGAATTTGGCATTCATGAAATGAGACATGTTTGTGGTGTCATAAACTTAAATGGAACCAGATGCCACAGCTGCTTACTGAAGCAGCAAATCGCCTGAACACTTAGGCAGTTCCTGGTTTTAACCATCGGACCACACTTACTGACAACAGTGTTTTTGCATTTGACTTAAATTTGTCTGATTTCATACACATCCAACAGCCCAAGTGCAAGTTAATACATGATGAATAGGTTGTGATTTTAGACGGACAGACCAAAAATATGAAATGAAAAAAATTAAACAAATTAAGAGTCAATTTGATATTAAGGAAATAATGGACATATTAACATACAAGTAGTTGAACATGAATTTAAATCCCGGCATACTTCATAGTGAGCTCTGTAAAATGTGGAATTCTGTCAGTATCAGCCTTGATGGCAGGTGGAAATTAACCATCTTTTGAAAATTGATTGAAAATAAAAAAATGGTGAGATTAGTTATATCGGTGAGGTCAGAATCGGCTCTTTCCTATTTGCAGACTGAATTGGACATGCTTGCTTCACGCACTGAAGCTACTTACGGGGGACCATTCACTGGGACTGGTAACCGGCATGTCATGGTCCCAACCTCAGCATTCAGACCATGCAATCTAGCTGGTGCCCTGAATATCACTACGCAAGAAGTTGCTGTCACAGAAAAAGGTGAGTGTCATAGTTTGTTTAATGAATATTCAATACTTGATTTTCCAGCATTTTTATGAACTCAGGAGGATGTTTTCTAGGCAGATCGCTTCCTCGAATGGTGCCCTCAGTGCTTATACCTTTTTGGCAGAGTTCCCCATCCTGCGCCACCACTTGGCGCTATAAGATCTTTGGTTGGGACTCATGGATCAAGACCCACCATTTTGCTCATTTTTCAGAGTTCGAATTGAAGAACCCAAATGAGGCTCCTTCGGAGGACAACTCCAAGCGGAAAAGCCAGTGTGTCCGAAGTCCACCAACAGAGGGCGCCCAGAGAATCATTGCTCATAGTAAAGTCTTCATGTACTCTGAGCTGCTTCCTGGTTTGAGTTTGACCAACAAACCGATGGAGAAGACTTCCTTTGAGAAATCAGAAGACGTGTAAGAATTCAGTGTTGTTCACATCTTCTGAACCCTTTTTCTGGTCAATTTAACTGGCGATACCGTTAACTTCAAATATGGAAGCCCCTTTATCCTTACGGTTGTGTGTGCTGTTTTTTTTAAATGTGTTTTAAATTGGAGTTTGAATTTTCGAATTCAAATTCTTGCATTTGAGAATGAAATAACCTTGCATAATGCCAAGTATAGTTATTTCCTTTAAACTTTCACAACCTCAAATGCACCATAAACCCCCACTGGCAGTATTTTGATAGCTCTAAGACTTTTCAGTCTGCCATTGTAACTTTTCATTGGCCCTGAATGCAGCCATTTCAGCACAGAGAATGTACTGTGTATTTACAGCATGGCATTGGATCATGTTGGAACCTACAAACTTCCTTGTAGAAATATCCAGAAGGTTGGAGTGCCAGGTTGGAGTGCCCAATATTTTTATGCCAACTGAAGGAGGTGTTATGTTCTATGCTTTTGCCTTCTGTCCCTAGTTTAATAGTACTCGGCCTGATGCAGTATCCACCTGAGAAGGATAAACAGGTGCTGTACAGAATGATTTGTCAAAACATGCTACCCATCAAAACATCTCGTCAGGTCATGGTCCACGTCAAGAACGCCTGCAGTAAGAACAGTTCTAACGTCATCAAGGTCAGAACAAAGTTTGGTGCTCTACTTGTGAATACTTAGTGATAGTTCACTGGAGTTGTGATCTGGAGGTTTGAAGTTCAGTCCCCATTTCAGTTGAGTTATCTTTGTTGTGGAACAATTTTATTTAGATGAGTTCAGCAAATTTGATTCCATTGTATGAGCCATTATTCCTTTCTAGAGGGAGACAAACAGAGAGCCCTTACCTGTTTTTCAGTGTCGACCAGAATCTTGTGAGGGTAGAATCCTATTTGATCTGTTAAGGAGAGACAACTCAATCCCTGTGGTGTATTAGTTGGGATTTGAATTGTGTCCATCGGAGGTCGGCTGTCAAGAGGAGTACCATTTTTAACAACATGGCTGTCCGTGACCCCTGTGGAATATGTTCTAACAGCAATCAGTGTGCCCACACGAAGAAACGTTTTTCCACTTTGAAAAACTGATGTAGAAATCCGTAGAATTTGGAGTGTGTACTAGAAGTGTACATTACTTTGCATACATACGGTGTGTCATGTTTTTTTGTATGAGAAATATTTATTTTTCGCAGTAACCTTCAAGTTGGCAGCATTTGATAACTGTTTAAAAATTGACCAAGATTATTGTAAATGTTAAAATTGTGTCATTTTGTGAATTTCTGATTGCAGAACTGGCGTAAATGCGGTATCAAACCGATACTGACACCACCCTGTGCACCTGTCTTCCCTGGAAGTGAGAAGGCTCCCGTTGAGAATTTTCAGCTGTATGACAAAAGACCAGAATGGTTAAAGGTTGGTCCTACAAAATCAGTATCTGTTCACAGGGGTCGAAATTAACCTTTTTTTCCTGGTAGCCAGCAGGACCAGTACTTCAAAATTTTCACTGATCCTGCTGAAAGTTTGGTGGTGCCATACCAGAACGGCACATGCAGCTGCTTGAGCAATCCTTGTTATGGCGCAGGCTGCAACAAATTGGTTTTTAGTTTGCCCGATCGGGCAGACCATGCCATAAATTTGCTTGCCCGAATGGGATCAACACTTGCCCAAGATTTCTCAGAATCCACGATTATTATGGTTATTTAACTTAGGCCTACTGCAATACACACAGTCTTTTATTAGGCCCAAACAGTTGTGCTTTGCCTCTCAAAAATAGGATCGGTAGGTCGGAATATTTGTTTGTTTGGAGGGCAGTTTTTTTGTGCTGATTGAATGGCATGAATGGGGACGACAGCTTCCCAAATTATCTCAGAAAGTTAACACCTGTCTTAATCTATGTGAAAATTGCTACATTCGGCAATTCACAAGAAAAATTACAGACAATTCACACAGGCGATTGCGACAGCAAACTGGCCAACAATGTCCATGTATCGCGTGGTAAGCATGCATGATACATCCAGACCAGTGGGCGATAACCCTTGAGGCATGAGGAGGACAACCTCAAATTAAACTTATGAACGCAGAAAATATGTACATAAATAAGAGACCAAGTTCTGTGAATTAACTTGCAGAAAACCTCTTACAACATCGATGTATTTTCGACCTGAGGCCTTAGGGTTGCATCCATAACGTGTACGGCTGATTTAGAGTGGACATGTACAGAACATTTAGTACATGTACAGTACAGACCGGTTCTGGTTCCTACATTTTTATCACGCGTTCTTCTGCAGGGGCGCTGCGTGGCGGGAACCAGCACAGCTTCGTTTAATGCATTGAGCTTTGCGCACGTGTTTTCACCACTGCCACAGTGAAACGTGAATGGAAACTCGTGAAAATAACAGTGTTTTTTTCAAAAATTACAAATGTAAGAAGAAAGCATTTTAACATAAGAAAAGGTTATTGAAAGATTTTTGTGAAGACAGAAAAGACATCGGATTTAAACTGGCCCACTGGACCATCAGTTTTATTAGATCAGCTGGTCCACCGACTTTTCTACTGGCCTCGGGCCAGTGGACCACTGTTAATTTCGACCCCTGGTTCAGGTTTCCTTGTCCAAGGTAGAACATTTTGTGGAATGTTTAAAACAATGGAACATGGAAATGTGTTTCTGTGGAGACATTTCGACAAGATCTGTTGTCCCTTGCTGTTTTGTGGTGCTGTTCACAGATTTACTTGGAATGTTGCCTCAGACGCTTCTTCAATTTTTTTTTTTTTTAATAATTTTGATGAATGGTCCAGTTAAGTTGTCATTTCTTTTTGACTCAGTGGTTCATTGTTGATCCTTGTAGCTGTGTGTCTTGTATCCGTCTGCCTTTGCAGAAGTACCAGTCAGCTTTTTATCCCCAGCAAGTGGGTGCAAGTCCAGCTGGTCCATCCCATAAGATTGCTCCCTCGACACCAACTCCTCAACAAGAAGGCTCTCAAGGCTCTGATTCCGGCAAGACTACTCCTGTACCAACGTTGCAACCCAATGAACCCCTTGCCAAAATGAGGTTGCCCAGGCAACGTGGACCATCTTTCTCAAAGCTGGAGCCTTCAACCCAAGGTCTTGGTTGTGAAGGACAGTTAAGAATCCACACCTTAGTTCCCAAAATCATTGCTCCAAATACCTTAAATGTCAAGACTGTTCCTATGGAAGCCCCTCCTCAACCAGTCTTAGTGATAAATCCTCAACAAGGCATCATTAGCACTGTTGGAGGCACAACAGTACAGATTATCACTTCCTCAACTGGAGGGTTTGCACAAGTATTGAACCATGATGCAGTGCATGCTTTGACCAATCCTGCCTCTGACACCTATGCTAATCCCACTTCTGACACCGTTACCAAATCATCAGATTCTCACTCAGTAACACCAGCTTCAACACCTCATGTTAGCCCCAGGTTATCCCCATCTTCATCCATCAGTGCAGGTGGTATTTCAGCCCTACAGAACTTTCAGTTGGTGAAGGCTGGAGGTGTCCCTAATATCGGACAAGGAGAAAAACGTACGAGCAGAGACAAAAAAGGCAGAGGAGACAAAAGCAAACAAGTACCTTCCAAGGTACCTGTCACGAAGCCTTCATCTCAAGCTGTCAGCTCAAGGCAGTCAACTCAGATGACTCAGACCATTAGCATTGATGAGACAGTCTCTAAAGACAAAAGCTGTGCAAATTCGGACAGAAACCCTACAGCAGTTGATAATCTCCCACCATCCACAACTCAGTCTTCTTCAACACCTTCAAATAAATCCCCAAGAGATGTTGATGTAACTGCTACCGGGGAAACTTTGACAGCTCTCAAGGAGAAGGATCAAAACATCTCAAAGGATACAAGCAGCCCTCCACCAAGAAGTAAGAGCAGTACTCCCGACTCCCTGATAGATGAAGAAGGAGCAGAGGAAGATAACCTTGATGATGCTGCAGCATCTCCAGGGGAGAACATCGTGGAGAATGTGGATTCCAACAGCAGAGAGGTCTCCGATGCTGAGGGCTTGCCTGATTCTCAACTCAAAGCCGTAGGGGATGGAATTGTAGAAGATGCGAGTGAAGATGTTGAGAAGGCATCAACCCTGACCAACAAGATGGCTGCTAAACGCATGAAGACAAAGCTAAGGCGAGATTTGGAATCCACTGTGGTGCTGTTAGACTCAGATATTGTATCTAAAGACCCAAAGGTACGACAAGTGTGAGTTTAATTAATTCATAAACACATGAAAGACAGAACAAATTTTGGTATAATTTTCTTCTCACAAGCCTTTGCCACTGCCAAAACAAAACTACTTCAATATTTATGAATTCTGATCAGACCAGTTAATACTTTCTGTAGACTTTAAAGCAGAATAAATAAGTCCCAATAACTCATTACAGTGCCTCTTCAGTCTTGAAATTTCATTTTATTTAGCATAAATCTTTTGGGGTTTTTAAGCTTGAATGCTTTCAAACAATTGTGTTGTTCTCCAGTATTTTCTGTGTGTTTTAATTTTTTTGTTTCTTTCATGCAGAGAGAGGAAAGAGAGATGTCTTTCTCACGAGCATATCTCAACAAAGTCAAGGTAAAAAAGATTGCATTCTACTGTAGAAAGCTCTGAGTGATCCTAGAGTATTAGATGAGTTATGACAGTCCATATTATATTATATAAGTCATAAGTCGTACAGTAATTAGACTCTATCAAGTTATCATATTCAGTGAAACTATCAGTCAAATCTCAAGTAAATAAACCTATTCAAAAGTTCAGGTAGGATACCCAGTGACAAAAGAATGCAGTGGTGATAAGTCATGTGGAGACTGGATGACTTGTGAGGACTTGCAAGAACTTGCGAGGACTTGTGAGGACTTGTGAGGACTTAACTACAACTGACTTATGAATTGTCTCAAGTTGTTAGCATTTGTGCTTTACCTTTGAGTGTCTTAGGATTCAGGGTTTGTCCAGTCCGTCAAAGTCCCTCCAATAACAATAAAAATTTGAGTCATTTTGAGCAGTTCTTTGGTGGAGAAAATCCTTCATATTTCAAGTATACAGCATACTATCTGCATATTTCATACCAGTCCTTACATGAAGTTGCTACATACAATTTGTTTTTCGTAGGAGAGGTTTTCATCTGATCCAGACAGATACGTTGATTTTCTTGGCATTTTCAACTCATTTTCACAGACAGCAGAAATAGCAGCAGAGGAGGTCAGTGCCATTTATTTCTCATTTGTAACTTACCTCTTTCAAAATATTCTATTGAATGTTTTGATTGGTGGATTTTTTTGCTGGATTGTCTGAGAATATGCTGTTTTCATATTCTTACATTTCTTGTTTTTGTTTCATAAAAAACCAAAGGAGCTAAAAATGCAAAATTGTAAGACTTGCTCATTCAGCCTCATGTTAATAAAGTGTAGTGTGAAAGGCAATGTAGGTACGTGATAGATTTCTTGCAGTAGAAGTCCTCCGTGAATTTATTGAATTTGCATATTTGATTGGTTGAAATTGTCTAATTTCCACAGCTATTTCAGAAAATCTGCCAGGCTTTGGAGGGACATCCTGATCTGGTTGAAGATTTCACTGCCTTCTTGCCAACAGATGTAGCCCTAGAATGTGGAGTGGTTAGTCTATTAAAAAGCTTCAGAACGTCATCTCAAAAATAGTGCAACATTTGTATAGTCTGATGTTAATTGAAAGACGTAAAATATTTTACCCCCCCAAAAGTATCCAAAACTGTTACACTTCATACAAAATTGCGTTAAGTTGAAAGAAGATAGAAGGATGTGATCAGCTTCAGAATGTTGCGTATTATAATTTGACTGAAATGTACCAGACATGGCCGTTGTTAAAAAAAACTGTGTATGGCCCTCATGGAGTTTTCCAACTATTTGTACCCTTGGGTGATGCACTGTATACTCAGTGTTGTCTTTGAGATGGTGAAAAACTTCAGGGAGTAATTGTAGAATACCCCACCACTCCAAAATACAACCCTGAAATAACTGGTTACATGGGTACAAGGTGAAAATCCCTTGAGAAGAGTGTGACACTTTTGACTTGGTACCTGGCTATGAGGTTGATCTTGCGGGGATGGCGGGGTATTCTGCAATTAAGCTAACTTTAGATGGCTTGGATTGGACTCGAACATAGGACCTCCAGCTTCTCCTTCAGCACTTGATGACTGAGCTTTGGCGGTTTTAAATGGGTGTAGCGGAGGATACGACAGTCATTTGCAAAAGTTTAAGACCACCTGGAATTTTATTGGTATTTCTGTCACTTGGCCTGCATTACACTGTCTCACTGAATGATTACTTAACATGATTTTACAGTGGTGCATAACATCAGTGTAGTGCTATATACCCATTTGAACGAAATATTTTGCAAAGGCAGGTCTTGTATGAAATTTTGTCTGCCAGGCAGCATGGGTAAAAAAAGCCAGTCTAAGCAATCAGAAATAAAGGAGGGCACACTGAATATTAGACTGTTAACATGTCAAATCATGGAAATGTAGTCAAAAATGTTCAACCAAGGTACCAAGGTTACACATTGAAAATAAACATAAATTGCCATGACTTATTGGTTTCAGTTTGGTTTTCCTTCAGGTTGATGCATTTCTATGGGTGGTCCTAAACTTTTGCAAATGACTGTAAACTCAATAATTTCTTATGGAATTCTCTGTGAGAGAATACTAATTTTATACCAAATGAAATAAAAGACTCAAAATCATAATCAGCATTTCCCTGATGAATGTTCCACCGGAAGTCATTCTTTGACGGTGTATGGAAAATACTGATTAAAGGTGGATATTAAATTGTTTGTTTTTATGTATTTTGCCAGTTGATGGAGAACCTGGAGTTTGCCAAGGCAAGGCTTTTTCTGCGTCAAGTGGAAGTACACTTCCAGAAGAATCCTGCTCAATTCCAGAAAGTCCTCAACACAATCATGGAATGGGGTGCCGACGAGGACCACACTAATAATGATGTGAGTCACATCTCTTGACAGGAGTGTTCCAGGCTCCTGTGCAACATCCTATTTTCATCTCTGGCAGGAGGACCTATTGTAGAAACCTTCAGTGCCAAAACCAAGTTGAAGTACCCCCAACTTGGGTATTAGGTTGAAGGATGTGATGTTCTTAAAATTAAGAAGTGAAATTCATGTAATCAGATCCCCAACATCAGGGAGCTTAAAATCACCCAGTGAGTAGGTTGGGAATGACTCTGAGGCATAGAAACATACCTTAAGTATCTCAGGAAAGATGCTTTTATCTTCGATTCTGAAACATACTCGAAGTACAGCTGTGTAAGGTTAGAGGATTTTGTTTCCTTTCAGGAAGTTGAGAGATGGTTAGCTGATCAAATCAACATGTACCCTCAGACTCTACATGGAGCCAGAACTTAAAATGTGCACTTTCACTCTTCCAGGGTCACTGTGTGCAGCTATAACCTAACCATTTGCCGCTGAAGTGAAGGGGTTACCTCATTTGCAAATGTAATTGATTGGTTTATTTGACAACCTGCAGCTCAAGGAGAGCATCCTACCCTTACTGAAGGGTCAACCTCATCTAGAGCAGGAGTTCTCTCTTCTCTTTGCTGATGAGCGACCCCCTGAGAACTACATGATGGACTTTGAAGAAATCATCTGGGATGATGACAAGGAAAAGGAGGTATGCGTTGAACATTTTAAGGGAAAGGATTGATAACTGGGAGTGGTGTTTGTGAACAAACACATAGCTGTTCCCAAAATGTTTTTTATTGTCTTTTGATGACTGTCAACGAGCATTATATGTTTGCAATGAATTGGATAACAAATAATTGCCAAAGTGGCATGTATAACGAAAAACCAATTATCACTGCCATTGGACGTATAGTGCATGAGATATGACGATTTGTGTGTTAAAATACAAGTTCCGGTCAAACCAGAAGTAGAGGTCACATGAGGTCAAGATATCAATTTTCATCTATAACACGTCCCTGACTATGTGCATACCAAATTTGAGTTAAATCGGTCAAATAGTTTACTAGTTATTAGACTGTAAAGAATGAAGTTTTGAATTGAGTTCACGTGACCCCCCTATGACGTTATGATTACAAAAAGTTTCACGGCACACCTTCTGATGATGGTAATTACTGTACCAAGTTTGAAATTGATCGGACGTAAAATAATTGCCAAAGTGCCTTGTAGAAAAAAAACCGTGGAAAAAGAAAAAAAAGAAAAAAAAAACTTTAACGATTACAATAGCTGTTCCCAATTGAACAGCTAATTTACTTTCCTTCAATGTTTTTAAGTTCTCCAAAAGATTTTCTGGAATCTGATATTCAAAGCATAAAGATCCTAAGTTTATGAGTCTGTAGAGAGAAGAGAAAAGTAGCCTGTCGATGTAGTGATGGCATTCCATGTTAAATTAAAGTCGGCATTTTGCACGGGTATGTCATAAGCCTTGAGTACCAATTTCATGTTATATTAAAGTCGGCATTTTGCGCGGGTGTGTCATAAGCTTGGAGTACCAATCCTACTGGTGGCTGATGTCGCATTGGGGATGTCTTGTGCTGCATGACACCTTGCTTGTTTTGCTACTGTAATTTCACTGCAAAGTTGATCACAGAATCTGGGGCCATCATGAATACTATCGGCCTTTTACTGCGGTTTGCACTTGAAGAACTTGTAAATGCCATTCTGTTTGTAAATAAGGCAACTAAAGACTACAGTCAATGGCATGCAGTCCTGCTGAACTTGTTGATTCTGGGCTTGTAGTGGAACGTATATAACATCTTATAAAATCATTTGACAGTGTGCCCACTGCTCATCTGACTTCAACTTGACCAATTGACCTCAGCAAGCTTGGTGGTCTTGTGATGAGACATAATGTTGCCTCCTTCACGCATTGTGCTCTGCGTTTGTCTCATGCCATCTGTCTGTTTGCCAAACCTACCTAGTCAACTGTTCTTGCAACAGTTGGGAAATTTGAATGGGTTCGCAGTGAGCAACATGGTGGAATTCTGTCTTTTCTTATTAGAGAACCAGAATAAAGTCACACTTGAACACAGACAATCCCTCTGGTTGTGGGTATAAAAGAAATGGATATTTGCCAATTTTTGATAACAGGTTTTTCTCTTTGAGAGCTTGTGAAAAAATTCACAAGCTTCCTCAGGTGGGACTTGAACTCACGACCTCCTGCTTATTAGTGTAGATGTCTTAACCACTTGATCACTCAGCTTCCTGGGGTTGGCTGGCCAGTCCGAGTCAGGTGTAGCAGTGGGTACTGCAAACGCAAGATACTTTGCGTCGTGGAGATGTTTACTTGCCAATGGGTTTTTCCGTTACACTGACGTATATTTATAACACTGTATCCTCAGTGTTTGCATGAGAGCTTGTAGTAGTTTGTGGCACATGTGACTTGAATTGGCCAGCCGACCCCGGCAAGCTCAGTGGTTGAGTGATTAAGACATCTGCACTAGTAAGCAGGAGGTCTTGGGTTCAAGTCCCATCTGAGTAAGCCTGCGAATTTCTTCCCAAGCTCTTGAACAAACACCGAGTGTACAGTTGTGGCGGTGGTATGCACCTGAGTTCGGGTTGGCTTTATGGCAACTGGAAAGTAGTTTTCAAATGATACACAGGTATAGAGCTCAATACAAAATTTGAATTGCCAGTCTCAAAGTGAATCGTTATGCAGCATGGCCAGGCCAGTGGCAAGGTGGCACAGGAAAGTGTGAAGTGCAATCCTGCCACCAAGCGAGGGCGCTGTGACCAGTTAGTGTCTCACCTTTCTGTGGTGTTCTGGTGGTTCGCTGCTAGCCTCACACTGTGTTATAATTATATGTCGGTATAGGGTAAAATCCATTATTAAAAACTATCATCTCTCCGATGCAAAGTACATCTTGTAACAGGTATTTTGTACCAGAAACTTGCCCCAAACCTCAAAAGGTTAGAATTTCTAATAACTGGTTGGCTTTGTTGCAGTATGACAGCTTTGAGGAGATCGAAATTCCTGACAGCGATGAAGAAATCCCAATCACAAAGTCAAGAGTTGGTCGACCACCCAACAAGCCTGCCTCTAGTACCCAGACTCCATCCGGCCCCAAGCCATCTGTGCTCCACCGGCTCCTGCCTAAGGCTGCCCTACTGAAGGGCAGATTGCCATCCATCTGGAAGTCACCTGCTCGGAAGAAATCCAGCACTGGATTGAAGGTAACTGATGGCGCTGGTTTGTGTTAGATTATGATTAGGAAAGTGGATAAGATTATTTGTTGGTTGTTCATAATCCTATGGGAAATAATTTCACTGTTGGGTTTACACGCTCAACCAATTTGGGTTTTGTGTGCTTCCTCAGTCCTCTGTCTATAAAAAATGTTGAAAAAATTTCTCCAGCTTGTTTAGGCAGGATTTGAACCCAAGACTCCCTGCTGTATTAGTGCACACATCCTGAAAAATTCCAAGAAAAGTAATATGAATTATTTTTACCACAATCATTTTTAGAAGGGTTTTTGGTTTTTACTTTACTTGAGGGGTAGAAAAAAACAGTTAATTGTACCCTACAAAATTTTCGGAGCAAAATTTACCCACAGGCTTAGCCAAATTTTTGGTCCTTTTCCAAAAAAGATATTGTGCTGACTGAGTCAGTTTTTGTGTATTTCTGATGTGTGGTTGTCATTGTTGATAATGTAGAGCCAGCTACCAGACCCATGGCAGGAATTAAACACCCAGCTTCAGTATGGTACCCAAGGCTGTGCGTGTAATTGTCATGAGAAATCACACGACACTAGAGTCCAACGTAAAGTCCGCCATTGCGCCTACTGCAGTGCTTTGGTAAGTTAATGTTCCAAACTTTATCGTTAGCTGAGTCATGTGGGCAAATGTGTTAAACATATTTCTCTTTTACGCACCGATCTTATACAGTTACCCAATATTTCAGTTTCTCTCAAATGCTGACTTCGTCCCTCGTCTGATTGTACTCGTCGTTCTTTCCAATGAGCAAAAAGACTGCTTGGGAGTAGCAGGTTTTCGTCTCTGCAATGAGACAGTAGATCTGAGAGACACAAAGTCAGGGTAGATTTCCAGGCATTCCAAGAACCCTGTCTATTCCAAGAACTGAGAAATGAACAAAACAGTTAGTTTACTGAACAAAGTTGCTGAAAACAATAGCTGTAAGACTCATTTTGTGGAATCCACTCAGTCCTGTCAAGATGTCATTTGTGGTTAACCAAGCACCGTTTATCACAAAATGGAGTCCTCTTGCGTTTTGTTTAAATTCATTGAGTACAGGATGAGGAAGGTGTCAGATTTTTGTTGTCCCAAAATTTGCATTCCTCCACAGGGAACAAGAACTGAACTGATAAGGTCCTTGAGAGGGTTTACCATGGGAAACAGGCGGAGAGGTCACCTCCTCACCGCTTCACAGCCGCCGGGCACCAGTGAAGATAATGCTCAGAGTGTCAACCCAAAGAGAGGGTCCGGCCGGAATCCATCGGGGAGGAAAGCACAGAAGGTCCGCTGGGCGTCTGCGGGAGATATCGAGCCAGACATTGAGGAAGAAGACGACGGAGAAGAGGAAGAGAATCCATACAGCGACGCCGTGGCTCATCTCTCGGAGATTTGCGACAATCTGGCCGACTACTTGAACGAGAACGCATCGGAAGAGGATGAGGAAGATGTTGAAGATGAGAAAGAAATGGATGTGGATGATGACGATGTCAATGACGACGATGATGCTGATGACGGACAAGAAGACGATGAGTTTGAAGATTTAGAGGATGAGGAGGATCAAGACGACAAAGAAGATGACGAAGATGACGACGATGGAGCAGATGATGCTGTCATCACCTCAGAGGAGAGTCGGGGAGTCGATGGAGCCACACCTGAGAGCACGGTCTCGCCCATTACCAGCCAGGGTAGTCATGATAGCAGTCAGTCATCAGGGCATAGTGGGAACAAAGCCAGCCCACAACCTACCCAAGCTGCTCCCAGCTCACAGACCACTCTACTAGGTACGCTTAATGTTCTTAAAGTATAATAATTTGATTTGATTATATGCCAATACTTGAAGATAAAGATCAAGTGAAGTATACAAAACCAGCATTTATTGTCAGCCAGCTACTGTCAAAGAACTGCAGGTCGTGGTATTTATTTGAAGTCTAGATGTCTTCGGCTAGTGAACCAAGGGTCCAAGGATCAAGCCTCAGTCTGAGCTAACTTGTAAATATAGATAGTAGAGAACATAAAGTGTTTTTCAACTGTGCTGAGAAGAATATTAATTTGCATGTAAAAGTCCACCGAAGTGCTTCAGTTGTAGCTACAGGATACATCAAAGTTTGTATTGCATACAACATTATTTAACTGTCCAAGAATTTAGAATCAAGATTTAAGAAAACTTTGTGATAATTTACTTTGTAAATCCGTCATTAAACATCTATCAAATAAATTTCAGAAGTTGCAGAAGATTGGTAAATAAAAGCACACATTTGCTGAATTTTATCACTTACAATTTGACATTTTTAAAAAGCAATGGTCAAACAGCAGAATGAAATCTGCATATCATTTCCTGGTTTGACTGGCTGTCATCACAATTTAGTTTCCCATAATTCTTTTTATCTCAGGGTCCGGGGTCATATTAGAGGGTAACGGAAGCCGTGCCAACTCCCCTGTCACGTACAACGAAGATGACAGAAGCACAGAAGATCACATGAGGCAGCTGAAGGAATGCCTGGCCCAGGAGAAGACAGGAGGCGGGGAGAGTTCCAATCCTCCCTCGGTCAAGAATTTGATTTGTGACGAGACCTTGCCTGAATCTCCCATCAGGCATTTCAGCCCAGCAGGGATTCCTACTAAAATTGACACATCAGTGAAAGTGGAACAAGATGTGGCTGGTCAGCAAATGAGGACTGAGCCTCGTTCACCCACTCAAATGCAGGAGACAGTTTCCGTGGTTACTTTTGCACAAGACAGCAGTAGTTCAAAGGATGGAGAGAAAGATCAGAGGTCATTACCACGGAGACCAGAACCCACCAAACGGCGAGTACAAACTGTCCGACTGGCTCAGAGTCCCAGTGTGTCATTTGGACAGTCTGAGCGAGTGCCACTATTTGAAAGTCTTGCCAAGTTAAGATCATCGCCAGTGGAGATCAGAAGTTCAGAAACATCTTCAAAACTGACAAAGAAAGACTCTAAAGAAGAGGCAGTTGATATGAAAAAAGTGCAATACAATGAAAAAAGTGGGAAATCAGAGCCAGAATCCCTTGCAACAGCCAAGAGATCATCTGAAGAGGATGAGCCTACAGATGATTCTTCAAAGAACCCAGTCAGTGAAGAGATGAAACCTGACTGTCAGAAAACTGGTGGAACATTGCTGCTGTCTGCTGCTAATGTGGACAGGAAAGATGGAGAAGTGATCGTAGTCTGGACAAGGTAAGACTTTTTTAACGTAACCAAGTCCTACTAGCTGTGTGTTGTTAAACATGACAAACAAAATTGAATTATCAATAATTTCACCAAAAGACAACACGCTAGGGGCAAACACAGCACAGAAAAACTTTGGTTGGAAAACAACCAAGAAATGAGCTTTGGCTAAACTGAACTATGTGTGCTAGAGATAAAGCTGAAGTATTAAGTGTGACTGATCAGTTTGGGCACGAGTTCAAGTTCCTTTTATAGATATAGGCTCTGTAGAGCACCTGCAACATGCCAGTGTCCAAAAGGAATTGATTTTAGGAATTGTGCTTTGATGTGATGTAGGGATGCTGACAGACTTTTACTGCAGCGTTGTCGTGATCAAGGCGCAACTGAACAGGTATTTGAAGAAATAGCAAGAACACTGGGTGACAAGACATCAAAACAGGTGAGAGAACGAAAGCTGATTAAAGTATTAAGCCAGGTCAAACTCCAACTTGATTTTGACATTGTTTCTTTGAAGACATGCATGGCAGAAGTTGCCAAAGTTGAGAACATACTTGACATTGGCAAACTTGTAGTGTGGACATTTGCTGTAACCTGCTCTTAATTTGCATCACCATTCACTTTTAAACTGGTCTTTTCACATCCAAAAAGAGAATTGACACTACTTGAAAGAGAAATTGACAAGCTGTGATCTGTCTGTTTGCATACAGGTTAGTGATAGGTTTGCTACATTGATGAAGTTATTCCAATCCGCCTCACAAGATGACAACGACGATGAAGATGATAGTGACGATGGGGAGGAAGTGACATCAGATGAAGATGAGGATGGTTAGATAAGAGGTAGAATGAGAAGCAATGCAAGAGGAATTCTCAAGGATGATACCTCTCCCCTCTCCCTCTAACCCAACACCCCCCTCCCCAATTCTACTCTTTTATTGTCAAAGGAATTCTACCATCAATCATTAAGAACCTCTTAAAACTTGGAACAACGGTCTTGAGGAGATAGGACATTCCTAGTGCACACATGCATTGTTCCAAGCTTCTCATTCTAAGGTGGAATGAAGTTTTCGTCTCTGGGAAGTTTTAAGCCCTCAAAATTTGACGTAAAAATGTGCTGGATTGGAAAGTGTGAAGTGTAACATGGACACTTGTGAAAGTTGACCGAGGAGGGGTATCAAGTGGGGTGGGGATGATGGTGATGTTTATTCAGGGTCCCAGTGAGAGGCTAAAATGATGTTTTGCCCGTTTGACATCAGTGTAGGTTGGAGCATTTATCTACAAACATTGATTTCATTCAGGTTGGAAATGGCCTTTTAGCCTGTTTACTTTGGTATGAAAGAACCAGATTCGAGTAATTTTTTGCCAGATGATTTTGATAGCTCCAAGAAGAGACACCTGTACAGTTTTAGTTGTAGTGCAGGATTGGTTGATTGTAATTATTGCATGTAACATGCAGCATTTATTTATATTAATGATTGATAATTTGTTTATAAAATGGAATGCTTGCCCTTTTTGAAGTAATATATTTGATATTGTATGAACTGAAAGTATAAAAACTGGACATGGACAGCAGTTTCAGGCAAAAAAGATATGTTTTATTTAATTCAGGCGGTAAAAAGGCCAATGGTCACACCCTTTCATGGATTTGCCATTAAAACAGAAATCATCCCGGGAAATATACTGGGAAGCAGACGCATGAATTCAATGAGTATGCCTCTTGAATTTTTGAAACAAATTTTTTGAGCACTTTTGTTTCTGGCATAAAAAATCAAACTGAGATTCATGTATCATTTATTTTTGCATCCTAATGAAAAGAGAAAATGGTCTCGGTGTAGATGAGAGCTAAGACCTGTTTCACCAACATGTCCTACGGACAGCTTCAACCACGTACAAGCGCACTTGCAAACGCTACATGTAAAATTCCAAAAAGATACCATGTTGGGATACAGGACATCGCTTCTCAGACCCAGCTGCCATGGCAAACAAAGACAATACATGCTCAGCAACAATTGGTAATCAACTAATGTGACATGCATTAGATACTGCTCACAACTGGTTCATGGCAGAATGTTGCTCACCACTTGAGTTTGCTGAGAAGTATTTTCTGTGTAGCGGCAGGACCAAATAAGGCCCAGTTTGTCTATAACAATCATGCATAAGCACCTCTATCGCAAAACCCTTTGAAATCCTGCATGCATGGTACCTCAGAAATGTCTACTACTTTAGACATTGATTAAGTCAGCCCAACAGATATTGACTGGTGAGTTTTAAAGCACACATTTATGTCAAAGGTTACCATGAACAAAGCTCAGTACATCAATACGACAAAAGTTACTAAATGGAGAACAGATGATCTCTGTCTTTAAAATCCATATACATTGTATATGTCTTCTGTCAGTGACAAAAAATAAAGGACCTTTTCCTGAAGTGTTTCTGAGTCAGTTCTATCACAGATCAAAGACAGAAGTCCTTTCTCACAGGACCGGACTACACGTAGAATATGCTTTCTGCATCAATCTGTCAACATGCAGTTGATGCAGCTGTGTTGAATCCAGCAGGTCAGTTAAAATTGAAGACATCTATCCAGGGAAGAGATAAAGTCACTAGCAAGTGTGCACAAAAGCCCTGCTCAGCGTCTCTCTTCACAGAGAGTACGGGGCACCCGAGGAGTTCCTGGCTCTGTAGATCTAAATTTTGGAGCTCCACGCTATTAACAATACTGACAAGTTGTTTCTTCCATTCTTGGTCATGTTCACTGGCCTCCACTCACAGTTGGTCTTGACTTCTAGTGGTGGGAACCAGTGAATCTTGCTATCAGAATGCCTTCATTCATTCCATTCCATAGCGCCCTCTAGGATGGTGCACAAGCGCCCATTGTCCCGTATGACCAATAAAGTCTATTTCTGGGAATGTTTATACTAATAGGACTGCATTAATGCAGCCGTCATTCTCTGGGTTGTTCGTCACTTGGGCGTATTTACCTATATGTTTGGAAAGACAAAAAAAAAAAATGACATGATCAAAACTGGCTTGGACTTGGTTAAATAAGAGAAAACATGAATTTTGTACTGCAAATGTGATTTGGAAGTTGACATTGTGAAGAAGCACATGCTAAGAGTTTGAAGGTCCACCAAGAGTAAAGTGCATTCCTGTGAACTGTTCTGGAAAGACCTGAGGATTACAGATTTTGTACTGAAGTATTTCCGAGATGGTTGTTTTTGTTTTTTAATTTAGACTGTGAAAAAATAAATTGAGGTAACCTTAGCAACGCAAAAGCATGAGAGAAGACTGCATGAAGGCACTCTAAAAATCTGCATGAATCCCAACATGCATTTGTGAGAATTCTTAGGCTGCTACATTACTTGAGAGAACTAAACAATTCCACTCACCCCAGACAACCTTGCCTCCTTGTGTGACAAGACCTAGTTCGCTGACGTTAACCTGCCAGAATAAAGAAATTAGTCGACGATGAATTGGGAAAGAATTCCCTCAACCTCGACTGCTTAAAGACACAATGTCAGGGACTTGTTTTGTGGGTATCTCAAGCCTAACGGATCTTGGTCTCGATCACTGTGGTCTACGTGTGGAGCAACATGCATCTTGTGTATTCCCTCTCAGAGTGGGTGAAGACAGAGGGCGGTACAGTACCACACAATGTCTCCACATTGGTGTGTGGTAGGAGAGACTCTTGACATAAGGAGCATGGTTGTAACAAGGTCTGGTAACAAAGAACAAATACTGAGGTACAAAGTCTTTTCAAATCTTCTTTTTCTTCTTTGTGAAGTCCCTTCATAACATGGTTTTAGGTAACAAGAAGGTATTTCAGCAGGTCTCAGTAACCTCGTTATAATGTCACAGTGCTATACGACAGTCCAACATAGTGTAGTTACCACCAAACTGTGAGTTACTGTAACCTTGACAAGACATTCGTCTTGACCTTCCAACATATCAAAATCTCCCCTCATACCAAGTGGAAAATGCCCACGGTTGTGATTACTAAAGCTCTGACCGCTGGCTTTTATTTCTTTCAAAATCTTTTACCTCTACAATGGTTCCCTTGGTGATGACCCCTAGCTGTGTGTACAGGGGTGAGTTGGGGTTTTTCTTGACTCCAATGATGGGTAGGTAGAATGTGGCTTTCAGCTCGGGATGTGTGACATGAGCTTTCTTGAAACGTAGACCCTGAGATGAGAACCACAAAAATGATGTACGTCCTTTCAACAATATAAAAAATCTTCACTTTCAGCGGTGAACAATTTTTTGTATTGACAAAACTGGTGCACATAAAATTTTTTCCAACACAGTCCAAAGACTGATGCTTTGGTTTAAAAGGGTGGATGTTTATATAGTATACGATGAAATTTCAGTAACGTTTGCCAAAACAGTCTTAGTACAGCGATCAAGTGGTTTAGTAGGGTGTGAATTCAATTCAACCTTTTGAAAAGTTCCAACATTTCCTGTTTTACCATTGGTCGGATGAAGCGTTCATATTTGGGCGGTTTTCTTGTGAATCCCTCTCCGACATAGCAAACTTTGGTGACCATTCGCTTCCAGGCTTTATCTTGAAGACACAATGAAAATAGAAACAGTTTAAATTGCTTTGAAATGTCGTTAATTTGAAAGTCAATAGGATTTAAATCTGATAGGCCATCTCATTTCCCAATAACTGCTTGCAATGGAAATTTTTGATCCAAAAACATTTCCTAGAATGGGCAATGCATGCTCTTATAAGTAGGAGATTTACAATTATTTAAATTTTTAATGAATAGCTTGGCCTGATTGTCATGGTTTTCTTATATTCCTAAAACATTGGAGTCTACATGTAAGTAGCTGGCGTAACACACTGGTCACAAATGGCTCTTGGCAACAACATCCAGCAAGGTTTGTAGGGTCAGAAGGCCGAGGTCGCTCAGACATATTCCTCACCTCTCTTCTTGCCTGTCTTGAGCACCTTGAAGACCTCTTGCTCAGACACGCCCCGCACCTTGGGGATGGGGACATCCCATTTGCCTGCCTTCTCCTTCCTCTTCTGTTTGACCATGTTGGAGAGAACTTTGGCCCGCGATTGGCCCTCGCGGTCCAGCAAGTAGGCCGGAACAGCGCCCTCGGGCACTTCGTCTGTCTTACGCTTCTTGTTGAGTTTCTCTTCGTGCATTTTGATGCTGTCAGAGTAAAGTGAAGGTATTTTCAGACAGTGAAACATGCCTACAAGAGTTATGGGCATCTTGAATAAATTTGTACTTTGTAAGAAGAAATATTTACTTCAAATTGCAAACATGTAGGGCAAATAATGAAACAGAAGAAAATGAAGAATTAACTTTCAGTTTTGAAATAGAATTAATGTTTGTGTAATAAAATGATTAGAAAACATTTGGGTATTCCTTCCTTCAACACAAGATGTGTCTTGTGAGAAAATGTTACAAGTACAGTGCCGTCATGACAACAGCAGTGACCAACTAGCATGGGGATAAGCTCTCCATTTACTCGACAGTAAGGGTGCAATCTATTGTCAACTTACGTCTTCTTCATCTGGATCTTTTCTGCATGTCTCTTCTTGTTATATAACTTGGCTCTGAAGGAACAAAGATACGGCAGGTTAATGACAAATCTAGTTAGATCTTTTTCACAAGAAAATGTAATCAACTCTTCATGTGTGGAGCACCCCTTTTACAACATGTTTCTATAAAGAACAAATTATCAACTTGTCTTTTGTTCTCGTATTCCTTTTTTGACAAGGTTCTGGTTACAACAAAAGTATTTGGACAAGTCTTAGCAACACTATTACAACAAGTGTTGGCTGTAAACCTCACGAATGAGAATGCGATAATGTGCCAACTTACTTGATACCAGTCAGCATCTTCGCTTTCTTGGCTCTCTCGTGGGGCTCTCGAGCCTCCTTCTTCCGTCTGAAAAAAAACAGCAATCAAATGTTCATAAAAAACAAGGCTACAAAAATAAATCAACGTAATTCAACACAATTCAGCTTTCCAATTTCAATATCCTGTAAGTAGTGCTGATTATAAGGGCTTGAAGAGGTTTGTTTTCAATCTCCATAATGGCTGATTTCATCCACATACTCTCCCTGTTGGGGAAGAACTCCAAATTTAACACATGGAAACTGAAGGGTTTTGCTGGAGGTACCTTGAAAGCCCGGTTAAACCTTGAGATACACCTCAAGTTTCCTCTTGTTCAAGTTTGCTTTCTTCCAGTAAGGATATTCATTGAAATGGTGTAACACTCCTGCAATTATGTCAACTACAGTCGATAACTCTCAGTGATGGGAGTCTAACCTTTGACCCTAACTCTAGAGATTTTTGCTTGGAATCTTCCAGCATCTACCCCAAATCTAGAAATGTCAGTAACAAATGACACACAAATACTTAAAAATAAATCAGGACATTTTATAAACCATAAAAGTATGAGTATCCCGAATCCTTCACAGACCTGGAACAAAGTTTGATTTTGGATTTGGGGGGACTTCCAGTTAGTATAAGATGTCAGGACAATTTGACTTACTTTCTCTCGTGGTAATCCAGCCGGTAGCCATATCGCTTCCGGTGGAGTTCCATGTATTCATTCTGAGGCTGTGTATGGGATAAAAATCAGATTCATGAGTGAATTACACCCCTAAAGTATGAATCTACTAATAACAGGAAAAACTTTCAGTGGAAAGTAAACACAGAATTTGATGTAAAAAAAAAATAAAGAAAACACAGAATAAAAAAAAAGAAAAAAAAAGGAAGAGGCAAGAAGATGATAGATGAAGGACCCAAACCTGGGGTCTTTTGCCTAAGAAATAATGTGAATATTATCAAGTCATCACCGCACCTGGCTCACAATCCAGATCAGCACAGAATTTGGATATTGTGTTACGGGCCATGGCTTCTATAACTGTAGTCACTATTGGTATGTACATGTATCTGGCTGTAGGCTATTGACATGACAGAGCTATTTATTAATGAGTTCTTTAGCACTGTCAATGGATGGCACAGTACACAGGTTGTAAAAAGGGCAATCTTGACTTTGGACACATTCATTCATTCATTATTTTTATTCATCACATATAAAATGTGAAATTTTTCTCTCCAGCTGCAGTCATTTCATAATCATTGCATACAGTAGAACAGATATGTACAGGCATATATTCCTAAAAAGGGAAAACATTAAAATATAAATTACAACAATTACAACTTTAAGAAAAATAAAACCATGCATACACACATGAGTGAGACTCAGCTCAGCAAAAACTACAAAGTATCCTGATTGATAAAGACATCCAAAATTAGTCAATTTGCCAGCCTTATCGATTAAAATTGGTGTTAAAGGCACGGACTGCACATCATAAAAAGGAAATTTAATGCAGTTGGTACGTGCACCTGTTGTAAGGCACTCTCTGTACGTCTCGCAGATGCACCTTTTCATTGCTTTGTAATACTATGGCATACTGAATGTGCCCGTTACTCCGTCTAAAACTGCACTTTTTCAGTCAAGTCTTCCCCCAAAATTTGTCTATGCTAAAAAATATCTCATTACTACGTAACCACAATGGTTGTTTGGACCGTCTAGGTGCTACTTCTGGCAAGATTCAGATCTTTAACTCACAAATTTACCTCTCTTCAACAAAGATCTGCACATTTGTCTGCACACTGCGATGCATGTCCATTGAACGGAAGACTGATTCCCGTCCCACCCCAGCCCAGCAAAGATATATAGGCCTAATAGGGACGGTGACCAGTCCAATGATATACAATGCATGCATTGCCTCATTCAAAACATTGACTCCGAGGATCATGTACATGTACGCGTCGCATTCCTAACGAGGAACCACCTCTACACAGCAAGATTATACCCGAGGAAATGAGGTTGCATTATTGGACTGGTTGCCATCCCTATGACCTATATTCGGAAGGCAGACGGGAACCAGTCTTCTGTTCAATGCAGACATGTGCTGCAGTATGCAGCTAATTGAGAAGATCTCTTGTTGAAGAGAGGTAACATCAAAAGTAAAGGTCTGAATTTTTGCCAAAAATAGCACCTAGACGGTCCAAAAAACCCTTGCGGCTCCGTGTTCATAAGATTCCTTTTTGGGGGAAGATTTGATTGAAAAAGTGCAGTTTTTGACAGGGTTAACGGGCACATTAAGAATCTCATAGCATTAAAATTGCATTTGTAAGGCACACAGAGAGTGCGTCACAATTCTGGGAGCAACCCCTACTTGCTGACATAAATATTTGTTGCACTCAATTCTGTAACTCCTTACAAACTGTTTATGAGTACAAATGACCTCTGCGGCCTCTGCTGTTCACAGCTTCATACAACTGAGGGATAAAGCTTAAGGAGTCTGGGGACTCCTTCTGGGGAGGGTACAACATTACCAGAAAATTTGACTTTTCTAAGCTTCTAGTCCCCAACTACTTCCAGAACTGTAAGGTTCATGCAAACCTTGCAAATAGCCATGTACAAACTCACACAAACAAATTTTGGCTGTTTTCATTGGGCCAACTTACTCTTCCATTACAGCTATTTTTTTGTACAACCAAATTTCATACATGCCTTCTTGGTGAAGTTACATGTCAGATGGGGAGGTTTATTCACCTTATATCCTCATTGAAATGGTGAAATTCTGTACATGTACTCTCATTGACAGTCAGCTGCATGGCAGCTTGACCAATCACAACACAGCTCCTATCTTTTCCTTATTGTTTCTGTGTCACCCACAGATGAAATCCATACTGTGAATGGTTCAATTCGCTTCCATTCCAGAGACCAATCATAGCCCAGATTTCATTTTGATGTGGTGAGGAAAACAAGGAAAAGGCAGCGCGACATTAGAAACAACTGTTAAAGGGACAGACAGTAGGTAATGACAGAAACGGTCAAGGAGAATTTACGAATTTTGAAAAAATTACATCTTTTATCAAAAATTATCAAAACCTACGGAAACATGAAGAATTTTTCTCTCTGTTTCAATAAAACTTATCCTTGAGCCAAAAATGATTGATTACCTGGGCGAATATTATGGTGTTCATTACCATTAGCACCCTGTTCCCATAATAAGGAAACAAAGTCCACTTTCTCAAACTAACATTTTGACCTTAAGGAACCATTACTCAATCCTGATAGGCCTAGTTTAGGTAAGTTTTAACAATATTAAGCAAGAAAACTTTAAATTTCTAACCCGAGTTTGGCAAAAGACAATCACTCGCTCAGATTCAGTCGAATCACACATATGATGCAAGATATGGGACAAAGAGAACCCCTCCGCCTTTGTGTTGGTCATTGTTTGATTGGAATCTTAGGAATTCTTTACAGACTTCTGGGGATGTTTTAGGTAACAATAGTCTAGAGTGTGTATAGGGATTGGACATGGGGGGTACCCATTGGCCCCATATCTTGCACGGTATCGAATCACACCATTTTGTTTTTTGTCTGGCATGTCTGGTTACCTGACTCAGGCTTTTTGGATTCATTAAAACAAATCTCCATCCAGGTCAAGGAACCAGACTACATTCACTTATTTGTCGCTCACGGCTCTTCGAGCTGGTCATGTAATTTTTTACCCAAAAATTTCCCTCAAAACCAAAAGCCCTGTTCGGTTTTCTTTCTGATATGAAAGAGGACATCACCAACAACTTGTCTAGATAAGTTGCTTCGAAAAAGTAGACTTTGTTCCCTTATAATAGGAACTGGGTGCTAAAGAAAGGTAATGAACCCCAATAATAGGCCCTAGGCCCTATTGCTGATTGGAAACTCACCAGCAATGCAAAATTTACAATTTCCGATGCCACGATAATATTAACCCTAACCCTCCTCAATCCTTCACCTGTTGGAGGACTGAGGAGTGTTAGGGTTAATCATGTTAATAGAGTTACCGTGATAATATAGGAACTGAGTATACATCATGGCTATCGAAACAGTTTGTTTAAACCTTACAGTTCTGGAAGTACACTTTACACCTCAAGCACTGACGGGGTAAAGTGGAAATCCTAGGCCTGGCTCTAGGGCGAAGTGGACCTGAACAGCGCATGACATGTCTCAACTCTGAACTAAGCCAACATACGGCAAAGTCATCTTCAGATTCGATCATTTCATTCAACAAACTGTTAACAAATGTCCATAATAACCATCACCTTTTAGCAGTAACTTACCATTTTTAATGAATTTGTTAATCGCTTTCACGGTGATTTGATAAATTGTAGTTTTTGTAGTCTCGCTGATCTGAACGCGTACGCCACGAGGACGACTACAAATGATGACGCCCTCACTTGGTAAAAATTTGCTAGTCTTCAAATTAAAAGTGTGTGGACCGCTTGGTGGCGCGATATTGATCGGCCACGTCATCCCTGCCGTGTTGGATGTAAACATGATTCACGGTCCAAAAATAGCAACAAGAGTAGGCGAAGAACAGAGATTGTGTGGGACTTATCTTGGCGATAAAGAATTTCGTTCATCTTCTAAGGTTAGTATCGCATTTCCGAGGGAATTCTGGTCAAGTCACAAGCAGGGTGAGATTGATAATATAACTGTGTCTGTAACTTTAATGTGAAAAAGTGACAGAGTTAATTAATAGCATTTTTCTCGGTACAATTTGGTTTTTCTCCCTTCTCTGTCGCCTGACATGCAGTTTTCTTTCCATCGCGTATACATGGTATATGTGGTTTCCTCCACTGCACTTTGTGACATTGCACAGTAAAGAAAATTGGATAAATGTATTTCATCATTGTATTTCAGTGTATTTCACTGGGGTCAGGTCAACCATGTCAACTCAAACGCATGGCATCAAGTTGGTGTGATGTTTCCTGATGGAGGCTTTGCCAACTATCAGTGTCACTGACTATAGTATATGATTCAGATTGAGATGCCAACACATACGCTGACCAACTCATACACCAACCAACTTCAAGCAGTTCATTTGAAGAGGTCACTCAGAAAAATTAGTTTACTTACGGAACCACCGCAGTGAACAATGATTAGTGTGCATGTGGTGCACGCCCTTCTCGGAAAAACAAGACCTATTACACAGATGTCGTGGTTTGCAGAGCTGGCAAATGTTTGTTGTTTTCCGAGTTCAGGATTCATTATGTTCCCGATTGGTTGAAATGAAAACTGACCTCCTTTTGACTTTTGTCAAAAATCATGGAGCCAAAAAATCGATTACTGAGACAACAATTACTGAGGGGCAGGTCTAATTCACTTCGCTTACAATTATTCACTGTAATTCTGATATATGGGCTAACTAATATTTTGAAGAAGTTTATGCCGTGATCTGACTAAAATTTTTTCACAATTCGGAACTAGAAAAACGACGTACTTGAGGGAAAGTCATTTCTTTAACAGGTGACTGAAATCCTGTAGGCATTCGTATCAAACCCTGAAAATTTGTTTCTAGGCCTACAAAAGTTTTGTCAAAAAGGAAAGTTTCCACGCTATTCATGGTAACAGTATTCCTGCTTTTACTTTCTAGTTGGATGTCACTCAGTTTGATTTCAATAGGTCAATTAGTCTTTTACGTTCTCTTTCCTGCTGCAGCCACAGTCAATCATGGCAAAGAATACTGTCGGCGTCTTATATCCTTTCATGTTCCGTTTTTTGGTCCAGGTTGCTTGGAAAAATAAAGAAACCCTACAGTTTTCAGTGATTACTCTCGCTTCATAAATCCAATTCCCAGCACGTCATTGCGCTTGTATATGAACTAAACTTGTACATGTACACGGTTACGAATTGGTTGACGTACGAGTTGATTGGCGTACAGTTGGTTGGCGTACGAGTTGGTTGGTGTACGAGTTGGTTGGCGTATGAGTTGGTCGACGTACCAGTTGGTTGGCGTACGAGTTGGTTGGTGTACGAGTTGGTTGGCGTAGCTCAACCAACCGCATACTCAACTAGCTGCATGCTCAACCAACCGCATGCTCAACCAAGGCGTACGAGTTGGTCGACGTATGAGTTGGTTGGCGTACGAGTTGGTTGGCGTACAAGTTGGTTGGCGTACGAGTCGGCACGTGTAGGAATTGGCACGCATATGAGTTGGTTGGCGTACGAATTGGTGTGTACGAGTTGGCATGTGTCCGAGTTGACCAGCATTTATTTCATTATCCTTTCTTTTAGTTCTTTTCAGTTAGTTTTAGTTAAAACTCCTTGAACATGATACAAGAGCCTATTTCATCACTTAGGCCTAAAAGATTAAAACACAATCAAAATTTCTACTTGAAACTTTTTCTGAACCTGCAGCAAGACTTGGGCAACATAAGAACCGTCAAACACTTGAGCAAGATGTCGGTGGCAGTCGAAAATCTGAGTGGAAGGACTTTGTCAGGATCGGAGGACTTGGATCTTCTCTTCAATGAAAAAGATGGCATTCTGTCTGAACTCACGTTCAACAATACAGATGAACCTTTGGTAAGGATGGATTCTATTGGTTCAGGAATTTATTTGACAATGCAATCAATTTGTTTGTTTTTATGGTTCATATCTTCAAAGAATAATTACAGATCTTGTAAAGACATCATCAAATTGTTAAGCTCTTTTGTAAACTGACGTAGTGACTAGAATTAATAATATGAGTCCTTAATGTAAAAATTACTTTGAAATGTTTATAAATCTTTTTGAATACACTTGTCTGGGCAAGTGTATTCCATTGAATTGTTTTGTTTTATAACATATTTACTTACTATACAAAGAAGATAAGAACAGAAATTAAAATCACTTGTACAAGGTCAATCAATTTTGATCAATCAACATTTATAGTGAGTTGTTTTATTTCAGAGGCAAGTGTCAACAGGAGTAGAGTGGAAAGATTAAGAATTCATTTGACTGACCAAGAAGGATATCTATAATTTGTTTTAACAGTCATTTAAATCTCTCATCTATTCAGCTCTATGACCAAGACTTCCCACCTGTGAGTGATGACATCTTCTCTAATCTTCTCAACACGGACTTTGACCTCTCAGCTGTCCCAAAGAATTCCTACGACCAACCTGTTGCCTCCCCCGAACACAGTGATAGTGGCATTTCTGATGGCATCAATTCCCCTCAGTACCAGAGCGACAGCCAATCAGGTGACAGCCCTCCACGCATTGACGAATTGGAAGAAGTGATAATGGATTCAGCAGATATGTCGAGTTACCTGATTGGCTCAGATGAAATGCTCATGGAACAGACAACCATTGATAAATCAGATTTAATTGAATCAGGTATGCAGAATTTCTTCCTTTGCCATTACTTATGATTGCATTTTTAGAAGGTTATTGTAAAACTGTTCCCTTTTTTTGGTCCGTTTTTTCCTGTAGTGGGTCATTTTCTCATTTTTTGTAAAAAAAATACTGATCTTGTCATGCCAGCAACACACAATTACGCTGTTATAAATCAAAATTTCACTGCAATCATTTTTATATAAATGAAGAATACCCTTTTTAACAAAAACAATATTTCAAAAAGCAAATATTCAGGTTGACAAGAATGCCAGTTACTTATAAGACATCCATATAAATATTAATTTTGGATTGAATTTGTAAGAAAATTTTTTCAGAGTGATTCAGAATATTCAAACTTTGCATTTTAGTTATGCCAAAGCGCAGTTTCACGTTTGACTTTCTGTGGTCTGTATAAACACTAGACATTGCAGATGTTCAGAAAGTATTGATTATTCGTGCCAGCTGTCATACAATTCATTGGATGTGCATCACCAACTAACAATATGCTAATGACATGAAACAGCAAACTGTGTACCATATGGACCAGATAACTGCATGAATAATGTGACTTTTACATGCAACATGCAAGTCATTAAAAACATCTGTTGGTGTGGCGACAACTGCTTTTATCAGTGCTACTTGGAACCTTCTCACATACGTGTACATGTAGTCAGATTACAGGATCAAAACTTGAGGATTTTACCTGGAGAAACTGGAAGAAAAAAATAATGATTATATTCAAATTTTTTAATGGCATTAAACATGCTCCTGTAGGCATTAATTGGTGTCAACAGAAAGATTTTTTTTGTCCAAACTGAAAAAAAACCTTTTTCTTACCTTGCGTGATGCTGAAATGAGTTGGATATTGATATACATGTGAGTGGCTCCTTTGTCGCCAAATATTTCAGTTGTACAAATTATTGACTTTAACACTGCAGTCAAACATTTGTTGATTATAGGTGGCTTTGATTGGGATCTCAAACTTACCTCAACCGAAGCCAAGAAAGCCACTTTACCTTTGACGGTGCAAGACATCAAAACGATTAGTGCTACAACGGCAACAAGAACCATATCAACAACAGACTCGGTATGCCACTTGGCAATTATCAATAACTAATAGTTGGTGATCAATAATTGTAAAGGCTGCTTTACGTGGATACTTGTAGATATTCTACATTGCTAAATTAAGATTCCCCCTTTTAAGGTACAGTAAGCTTGGAAAAATACACCAGAATGAGGTATATGGCCATTGAACTTCTTAAAATGTAGACATATCTTGAATAGCATTTTTCCTGACCAGATATTTGTGAAATATTTTGCAGGTATATTGTAGCACAAAGAACCTTTTTCATTGATTTCTTTTTGTATCAGTAAATTTCCTTTTTGGAATTTCATTTCCCATCTTGTACCAGATTTATACTTTTGATTTCTCTAGATTTGTTTTCCTACTTTTCAATTTGAAATCTCGTTGGGTGGCTGGTAATATTAAACTCAAAATTTATCTTTGCAAATTTTCCTTCCTTTTTTCGTTACCAGAGTTACCCCAAACTTAGACTGACAGATGAGGAGAAGAGGTTACTAGCAGAAATGAACATCACCCTACCAACAGATATGCCTTTGACAAAGGTATTACCTTCATGAAATCTGTTATTTGACCAAGACAGTGTGGTTACCACCATACTGCTGGAAATCATAAACCTTTTCGGAAATGTTTTTTTTCCATTAAATATCGTTTCCATGGCAATGAGATTTTTTTCCAAAATTTATCTATGAAGTTGTCTTGAGTGGATTTTCCTTCAAACATCTCATGTTCTCCAAACTGATTGATGATTGTCTCCATGGAAACCTAGGATGAGGAGAGGGCACTCAAGACAGTGCGACGCAAAATTCGTAACAAGATCTCGGCCATGGACAGTCGTAAGCGCAAGAAGGTGTACGTGGACAATTTGGAACAACGTGTGCAACTCTGTACAAAACAGAACCTTGAGATGCAGAAGAAAATGGCCAAGCTGGAGAATGAAAACAAGTACGTATTAACCGCTACGCACCGGCGGGCGGCTATAGCCACCGTAAATATTGAGATCCTCAGCCGGCATTTCAGCTACTATTCTCAGCCCACGCTCAAGCGAACATGGTGAAGGAAGGCAGACCTTGGCTCTTGTAAATATGGTGATTGGCCTTTGTGTGTAGCCCAAAAATGAAAAGACCGATTTTGCATCATAATCACCAGCTTCACAATAGTCCCCACTTTAAAAAGAGGCAACGAGAATGTGGAAGCTTGAGTAGAGCCGCATGCCACCGAACAATCAGCCTTTTCACCATGTAATTCAAAGCGTGCAGAGCACGCAGGGCCACAAACCGAGAATTTGCGGTTTGGCAGGTGGCCTTCGTGGCCAAGCGAGGCTGGAAATCTTGGAGTCGGCTTTCGGGAAGAAATTCCCATCGTTAAGGGGTTAATGGCTAAACTTAGCACCAGGAACTATGGTCCATGGATAACCCTGGAATCATGAAATCATGACTAATTGTCCGAGGGAAAACTCTCGAACAAAGTACTGTGGTCTTTAGCTGCAATTTGAACCCAAAGTATGGTCCATGAATTAACTTAAATCCAAGAACCCTGGTAAATTTGGGATAAACTCAGAATAACAGGGTTCCTGCGGCCTGGAAAAGTCCTGGAAATTTGTTTTCATTTTCCAGGCCTAGAATAGTCATGGAATTTTGTAAAAATGACTAAAGTCATGGAAAAGTCATGGAATTTTGTAAAAATGACTAAAGTCATGGAAAAGTCATGGAATTTTGTAAAAATGACTAAAGTCATGGAAAAGTCATGGAATTTAATTGTCCTTTAGGTGAAGGAACCCTGAATAAGAACCACAGTCCTTATGTAAACCCAGAGTCAAGAACTATATTCCCTGGCAAAACCCAATAAGAGAACCATTGCCATTGGGTAAATATCAAACCAAGACTCAAAAGTCCATCTCTTAACTTTAAACCAAGAACCATTTATGGAACTTCTGCACAACACTTGGTCAGTTTCTTCCATGCTTCAACCATTTCCCTTGTGCATTTTCAGATCTCTGATGGAGCAGCTGAAGAAACTACAAGCCTTGGTTAGCAAGACAACGACCAAAGCAGCGCATGCCAGCACCTGTGTCATGGTAAGACCGAAACAAGCATACATAGCCTTTAGGTCTCTCACACAGTTCTACAACTGATCTGATGAAATAAGAGACGAGATAACATAGTTACTCATCCAAAACCTTGAAAGGGCTTTTTAGAGAAATGCGATTTGACTTAAATTCATGCATTAAATATTATTAACAGATGTGTACAAATTTTCATACATCCATTTTTTTCATTGGTGTAGCCAACTTGAATTGAAAATTTGCAAAGCCTCAGAAATGGGTTATTAGGTTACTTATGAGTCAATTTTGTATCAAAACTATTCTTAAATATCAAAAATTAAACTTTTGAATCTCTACTTGGAGTCATTTAAATTCAGCGACTTTATTTTTGTTGTTTGTGTTTTTCTCGTAAACAGGTGTTGCTGCTATCATTTGCATTACTGATCGCTCCAAGCTTCAACCCCTTTGGTAAATCCAAAGACAGCCAGATGTCTGCGGGATACCAACCATCAGGAGGTAAGTTGTATGCTTGAAATGCTGGTTATCAGCTTTGCTAGGCCGTCTGAAACTGTAATTTTATCTTTGGCTGTGGCTATGCACCACTGCAACTCAATAACAACAAAGCCACAGCCACTGGATACCCAATTTGGACATCAATTTTTGCTTGGAATATTCCATTTTAAAAACCCTACAGATATGTAGCTTTATTAAAGTGAAGTCAATTCAGAAATCACTTCTCAACAAATGTGATTGTTCAGCATAAGTTAGCTGGGACCCTTTCACAGATTGTAGGCCAATGTTCCATTATAGGCAGTAACCGGAGGTTTTGGCCTAGCACATCTTTTACATGCTTATCAACTTGACTATTATGCCTGTTAACAGATGACACGTTACCCACACATTAGTGGGTAAGTCAGACTTGCAACCTGAACATAGGCACACCACATAACCTCATCCATTAGCTAAGCACCTTTTCACCGTATCGTACCTCAAGTTGGTATTCATGTGGTGTGTTTTGTAACCTCGCAAGAATGATGTACAGAGTATGAGAGCTGTGGTGTGCTGTAGTGTCAAATCTAAGTGATAGGGGCGGGGCACTTCAACATCGCGGTTGACACAGCTATGATACATTGTAATGGGAATGACTTGCAAGAGATGTAGCCAAGTTCATTTCATCCAATTCAGAGCCAAGTCACGAATCAAGAAAATTGAACTCAAGTCCTCACTCAAGTCCCTCTATAATTGTGGTTGAGAAGAAACAAGACTTCAGATTAATTCAACGATTGTTTCTTTACAGTTGTGTCAAGAACACTGAAGCAAACCGATATGCCCACCGAAGAGCCCTACAGTATCAGCACAGAGCCTAGTGTCATGGCTGACAACCAACTCGATGAAGATGAACCAATCACATTTGGCCGCTTTGCCAAGCCATCCTACACAAAGCAATCAGAGGTCCCATCAGCCAGTCAAGAAGCGGGAGATCGTTTGAATGCAGATTCAAATGCCCCGTCAGCCCATGATGCTGCTGCCTCTCAGCTGTCGCAAGATCCTGGGAAACCAGCGGAGGTAAAAGAAACCAGCAGGAACCAGTCAAGCACAGATACCAGGCACAACAACCCGAAGCTCCAACGGCAAGTGACAAAAACTATCCAGCATGGAGACGAAATGTAAATATACGACATCTTCTGTGGTACCTGTTTTTTAAACAAAAAGTTCCAAGTCACAATCTTAAGGCATGACCTTTTTAAAATTAATTTGAATCATTGTGAAGTTATTAGGAGTCATGATAGCATTTGTGTGTGGGATATGCCTTTCAGAAGCTATCTCGGTACATGGAAAATGTTGACTTTAGTGCATGGAAAGAAGATATTGCGTAGGATATGAAAATTTGTGTTAGGCAAAAGATGTCAGATTTTGATGGGGGGTCCCAATTTCAAAAAGAACTTTCTGGTCCGTTCTCTTTGTGTTTTGTGTGTTCTTTTCATTGAATATACAATCCAAAGGAGGTTGGTTGAAAGAAAACAGGTCTCGGTAAATGGGCAAGATATTTCAACCATTTATTCTGTTAGTTTCTTTTTATTTTTTGAAAAATTATTCAATGACCATGTAATTTGCATGTAAATCTACATGCAAAAGATTATTGACAGATATCTGTTATGCCTGTACATTATTTGAAATTGTTCAAATTAACAAAGAAATGCACAAAATTGAAAAGGAGTAGGAAACTAACGAGTCCATAAAATCAATTCACAAGTGAAGAAATTACTTTTCTATTTTTCTATTTTCATTTCAAAATAAATCCTACCTTAGTTCTCTTTCAACCTCCCCTTTATAACAAGAATACCTCAAACCATTTTTTTCTGAATAAAAAAATTTCACGTCCTATCAACCCGTAACCCCTCCTAATCACACCTATTATTTCTCAAAGTTAAATGTTATGAAGATTATTCTTTAGGATTTACACAAGAACTGTTTTTATATATACTGGTATAGAAAACATGATCAACAGATGAGTTGATTAGTGTTTAGCAAAGCTGCCTTTAATCCAATCGTTTAGTCCCAGAAACAACAGTTGATTGCAAAAGTTCCCAAATACTTCATGTTTTAAGTAAACCTGAATATCTACAAAGATATTTATTTCTGAAAACTATTGTTGGAATTGTTTTTAGTTTAGTGTTTTGAAATCAAATGGAATAGGTTTAAAGAAGCTATTATTATCTTTCAAGCAGTTGTAAAATATTTTTGTATGGTTATGTGCAGTGTTTAACATAAATATGTACAGTTTATCAGTAAAAGAATTTTACTGAGTTAATCCAGCGTCAGATGGAAGAAGATAATGTAAGTATTAGTTTAAAATGAACGCCCGGAATCCTTAGAAGACTCACATTTTCGGTTTGTATATATCTTGATAAATAAAAGAAGGTGTACAATGAATGCTAAGCACACCTTTAGACTGAGTTCTTTCTGGTTTTTGAACTAAAGCCAATTTTTTTTATTATTTTATTCCTACGGTGGTATGAGAGGTGGGTGTTCAATTTCAGAGGAAATAAGAAAAGGAGCCATCAATAGATATTAGAGAGTCGAAATATGAAACAAATATAATGACAGCAACAAGAAAAACAGTCGCTTCATGGAGATTTTTTCTTTGCAAAGTACCCTACTTTATGAGGTTGAATTAAACTCACCGCATGTTGTAACATGACAATGAACTCCATTAACAACAGTCAAGAGAATACGGGCTCGCTCCACGTAAGTGTGATTTACTGCTCTCTGGACACGCTACGTGACCGGTGCTTTGGAGCAGAGTTGGAATAGGGTCAAGTCACAAATCAGTTCACAAGTCATTTCGAAAGTTAGTCCACAAATCAGGTTGGAACTAACTGTACAGGTGAACGACAAAGGAATAATGCCTTTGTCATTGGTTGATTTAGGACTGAATAATCTGTGGTGACTTGTGGCTGACTCGGTTGCAACTCTGTTTCCAAGAGTTTAACAATTCACAAGTTTTCTTGGGTGAAATTCAAAGCTACATCCTTAGTGCAGACGTCTTACGTAACTCCGATTTGTAGGTTCGAATCAATTTTTTTTTATCCTTCATTGACGGAGTAGCCTATGAGGAAATGGTGTTAACCCGCCCTCCCACCAACATGCTATAGCAGTGTCCCTTTTGCTAGTAAGTGCCCCGTTTCTCCCA